CAAAGTCCCGCAAGATTTCCCCGTAAGCCCATCAGTGATAGATTCAAGCAATGATGTCACTGATGCAAAGTCGAGCAAAAAAACAAAGAAAACAAGGGAAATGAACGAAAAATGATGAAAAGATGCTGCATCACCCAAAAACTAATTATGAATATGAAATAATAGCTGAACACATACCATATGGTTTGTCTCTTTATGATAAATGGAAATTGCTAGTTTTTCTTTCTTATGTTGAATGCTCATTCTCGTATTCAGTGATGCAAATGAATCTATTCGGCATATTCTACTTATGGCTGTGCAAATTGCTCGGCTGAAATATAATTTCATGACTGAAATTCATTTGGTATTGACTAATGAATGAGATGAGCTAAACTGCTCAGTCGACCGAACTCAACCAATATGCACTGAATACGAGAGCAGTGTTCATGATGGAGCGAATTTTTGGCTTGGGAGAGTGTCCCAGCGAGTAGTAAGCCGATTCGTTGGGAGAAGGATGCTGACCAGAAAGTCACGCAGCTAAACTGTTTGAAAGTAGCTCTCCGTCGCGGTTGCCGCATTCCGATGAGCACTACAAATGAAAGCATGAATCAGTTTCACATGTTTTCGAGTAGTTCATGAACGAATCTGGATAATCTCAGTGAAAAGTGCACGCAAATGATCAATATATGGTCAATGATTAATTGACAATGAGCTTTTATCTAATAGTAAGGACATCAGTAAAAGATCTACTTTGATTAAGTGATCAATTTCATGTGAACAGAGAACTCTGCCAACGAACTTGTTAAGTCTTTCATAACGGCACTGTTAGCGAAGCGATTGTCGCCTTCAGTAACTCTCATAAAAGCACATTGCTGCAGTCATTCGGCAAGCATCATATCATTCATTCCAACAACATACCAATTATCAAATCTTAACAGTTTGATTCTGGAAAACTTCAATTATCACCCAAATTCATCTGAAGTAGTGGAGAAACTGGAATTTCAGGAAGATTCCCAAAGATATGAATGAACAAAATGTTGGAACGATCAGGTGGAATGAAAAACTGAAAAATCGAGAGAAATATGCGTTGGTTATGTGGTCTGTTTAGTTCGAAAGAAAAATTTTTTTGCGGCCAACTTTCAATTAACAATAAGATCGTGCATGCATGGATTATGTGTGTATGATCGACGTGAGTGGAAACGATGGTTTTCATTGGAATGTAAACCATTATAAATGGATGTGTTATAGGATTGTATATGTCGTTTGTGCACGTTGAAAGCAGCAGATAAAGCGTGCACAATGGAGACAGACGTATCAAAGAAGAAGAGTCAGATAGCAGCAGTCGGTTTAGATTGGCTTCGAGTTGCAGCCGTCATAAAAGTTGCTGTTGAAGAAGTAGTAAAGTTGTTGGTGGACGCAAAGATGGATGGATGGATGTGATTAGATGGATGCTCAGAACAGCCATCGCTGATGTTATGATAGCGGAAAGTACACGAGAATATGTATGTGCACATGCATGCATGATGTGTTTGAGAATGGACGAAGAAGGCTTATTTGCGAATATAAATAAATATGAAACAAATCTTTTCTGCAATAAGAAATTCACGAGGTTACGATCACAAGCAACGCAAACAAAATGAACCAACGAACAAATCAACAAACACGTTCACATCAAATACGCACTTTTGCTAGCATTCATCAAGAAATTTATAAGCGAAATATCCACTTTCGGTTTCGAAACATCCAGGGGTATCTTTCATATTCATGCAAAGAACAAAATGAAAAGAGTCAAATGGGCATGATCGCTAGTAGGATGCCTGTCGTTGAATTGAGTCCGGAATATAAATACATCACTAGGCAACACCATCCATCAACGTTCATGCATTCCTGTTTTGCCATAATACAAGCGATAATGGGAGATTACAGCGAATACCATTAAGGCCATCTGCGTCAAGCATTGTGGTGAAGTTGCGATCTCAACAATACAACCGAATTCTGATGAATTTTGGGTGATCTGGAATAATTTTATACTAATTGGGAACATTACGCTGGAATGATAAAGTGAACATCGCCGACATAAAAGGCATCCAATAGGATTTTGGCCCGAAAATTGCTTGAAGTGAGATTTATCGACACAGGCTGGAATCATCATCCTAATGATGAACCAGAAGCCATTTTCATTTATCATTGAGTGTACATTATGGACACTATTAACGACAGACGGTATCATTCCGCAATAGAATAGTGATGCTTTTGATGGAAGTAATGGTGATGGAAGGAAGCACGCACGATTGCAGTTAATGGCATTAGGAATAGTTTACCATCAACGAAACAAGCATTGAGCGCAGTATTAGAAATAATTGGCAGAAATGACTCATTGTTGCTTCGGAATATGAATATTTTTTGTGGAAAACATTCTCATTCACCTAAATTTAACGATAATGATGATAAAATTCATGAATTAACTCGTTGAAAATTCCGAGTCTAAATAATGCAAATGGTATGTGGTAATGAAATGAACATGGTGGGCACTAACATTGAGAAATCTTCCAGAAACTCTCACAGACCTTTTGGTCATTCAAAAGAATTTCAGTGCTAAAGAACTCATTGAAAACATTATACAGTATTGATTGCGATATATTTGGAACATTCAGCAGAATTTTTGGCTTTTCGCTTTTGCGCTTTAATCAGAAGTTCAATGATGGAACGATGTGTACTACTCATCGAAATGACAAACTAAACGAAGTGGGAAATTTATGATGCTAAAAGTTTTTGGAGTAGTCATGGAACAGGCAGTTGAATTATTCCGAATACGAGCTCGTCGATTGCATCTAACTGAAATACCAAAAAAAAANTACGGAATAGTTCCAACTACTCTAGCAACGCGACTTGTTTTCATACTGATCACTCGACGGATCGAACGAAAGTGTTTCCATGGTCAAACAGGATAGGATTGCTGTGCTCTCATTTCTCCGGTTAAGTTTCCGTGAATCACCAGTCAATCGAACACGGAACAGTCAACGTTTGCTCCTTGTTTAACAAATGAGTTGGTAATAAAGTGTAAATGTTTTATTTGAGTTCAGAGCTGGTGAAGGATGAGTTAACAGATTGTTTTCCGAGAAGATTCAGTGCGCTCATTAGTATGGTACACCTAAGAAGTTGTCGCTGAATGATGACAAAACGAACGAAATGTATCTTGCAGATTTCTGCTCTCCAAAACTGCTTTTCATCGTACTCATGTGTCATCACAATTGATCGCAATGAATGTTCGCAAACACCCGAAGATCCCTTTTCGATGACTTGTATGTGACTGTGAATATTCCAGTGTTCATCCGGCTAAATGCATATGCTCAACTGCTTTTCAAAAGCAAGTTATCAGCGGCGATGTGAGGACACAATCGAATGCGCTATAACACATCGTCGGAAGAATTTTGAAGTGGCGCGTCAGCAATGAGTGCATGAAGCGATTCATGGTTGGTTGACTCTAAGCCAATGGCAAACAGTAGTTGTTCGCATTTGAATCAACAACATGCTGAGTGCATCAAAGATCATGTTGTAAACAACTTTTCCATATGATTTGACACATGCTAATAATACACGCTTAAAGGTATTGAACGTATGGTTGTGTTATTTATTAATCGAAATGTTTTGTTTTTTGCTTTTCCTGGTGCCATTCAGGACCACTCTTCATTCAGCCAGGCATCTATCCTTTCGAATCGTTCACAAATTGATTTTTACATCAAAGATTCTTATTAGAGGCAACCAGCTAGCTTCCGTTACGTACCTTGAATTAAATGTCCTCTCGTTCTGATTTCATTTCCATCCACTACCAGTCATGATTTCCTCGATTTTGTTTGAAAATGACTTTTTCACAAGAAAGAAATTGAATACCATTAGATGGTGATGTAAAAAAGAATCGAAAATTCATGAAAAATAGTCTCATAGAACGGAATTTTCCACCAGCATTAAGAGCTGCTACTCGTTACTCATTCGAGATGCCATTTAGACGAGCATTAGCACGTTCTCGGAATAATATTCCGTTAGCATGCTGTGTTGGTATTGCTCATGTCGATGATATTAAGAATATCGTCGCAGCATTCTAACGTGTTTTCATACATCGATGCTGATATTAAGAATCTACCCTCTTCTGACCAACAACTCCAATCATTTGTGGCTGCTTACGTTCACTCAGAATTTCAACTTTTAACTCAAGCGTGATATTTATTGTTGAAAATGACTGATTTCTACTGGTCAGTACACGGTGACTCGCTTACAGTTTTCCTGTTATTCGCAATATCATTTGCCGTTGTCAATGTCCTTACGCAACGGTTACGTATATGATACCAGTACGAAGAGTACGGTTATTCCCGGACGTATTGCATCGACGAGTGCCGTAACACTTCACCTGAATGGATCCTATGCAACAGATAAGGTGATTCTTTTTTTGATGCATCTGTCATCTTCTCCGGAGAAATAGTTCAGCAACCCAATGAATACGCTGCACTTTTCTACGATTATATCTTATTAAGATGAACTCTTAATCATTTTTTAGCTTGCTGTTCAGCATCCATAATTACTTTTCACAATTCCACAAGTAGAATTCATTGACATAAACTCATAATTAATCGTCCAACCCCGTAAAATTGTTTTAGCAATATATTCGGCACTTAGAACCACTCTACATAAAAGAACTACCTTCAAATTCGATCCAAATGAACCCAAATTAACTCTTTTGACATTAAGAATTGTTTTAGCAATTTTTTAGGTTCAGAATAGTAGTGCACAATATATGAGGGCAACGATGACAAATGGTAAAGCGAGATGGACTTGTCGGATCTGTGGAAAAATGTTATCATCGAAGCGATCGTTTGATGAGCATTCGAACATCCATAATCGAGCACGACCGTTTCAATGTGAACACTGCGACTATGCGGCTGGTTCGTTTCTCATTCCATTTACTATTTAGTTAATTACGATCCATTCGTTTTTTCAATTATATTCATTCGATGAAAAATACAACCAACTGCCTTTCGGCCTTTCGAAATATTTGTTTGTGATTATGTTAGGGCTGAGACTGTAACTGCATCACTAGCAAAGAACATTTTTACTTTGAATGAGAATGTGCATAAGCTAGAATACTTCGTTGATCTCCTAATCATCACAACCCTTCAAATATACTTTCGAAAAAGTTGACGAATTGTCGTCTCATTATGTATGGTGAATATTTTTCACAATTGCCATCAAAGTTCAAAACATGCAGTCATCGCTAAGCATTCATTCACCGATGTGACAATGCGAAGAATGTGATCGAAAAAATGCTAAGGTAGCAATAAATACGATCGATAGTCGCATGTTGTTGTTGATAGCAGCTTTCATAAGGTGTCGCCAAATAATAGTACATTGTCCGGTGATCAGTAGAAATAAATGAATGTGACGTTGAGATTTTGTGTTTTTAGCGAGTCAAATGACACTGCGACGTCATAATCTACGTAATCATACGCCACGTCAAGCATGGGGCTATCAATGCCCCTATTGCCCTGAGCTTTATATGGAACCTGCGAGCTATCAACAACATGTTGGGTGAGTTGTGGTGCTGTTCCGTGAGCATATTTGGCGAGATCCGAGAAATATTGTTTTATATCTATTTGTTCTTATAAGGCACTTCTGAAGGATTTCACGTATTTTTTTCGAATGGTGAAAGTTAATTTCGTTGTTTTAAGCAGAGCTCAGGAATCGAGTGAATATTTTAAAAATGTGTTTTTAGATAGGTTGTAAAAGTGGTCATCATTATTAAATTTCTGATTTTTTAGTGATCCGTCTTAGTGGATTCGTGAAAATTTCTACACTGAATTGTATTTTTTGTGTTTTCCATTTTCAGATCGCGTCACTTCGGGAAGTCAGCAACGTTTGGTTGTCCTTTAGAAGGTTGTTCGTTCACAACACTTTCCTGTGGATATTTCAGAGATCACCTGTCGAAACATCGCAATTTACCGAGAGCGTATATGGGATATACAACAGTTGAGAATATCTCATTGAGCCGATTCATTGTTGAGGATAGACTTGGTATATTTTTTCAGTCATTTTTAGGAATTATGTGGGTGGGTTTTCATTGACATCAGACTCTGCTGATTGGTGGACAGAGATTTAAAATTTCTCTTCATATGAAATGTATTCGAGCGATTGAAAAACCCCTAACCGTTAACGATAGGAAGTGAGGAGTTACGCTGAATATTAAAGGAAGCGTTGAGTTAATCTTTGGATTTCTTTGATGCTGTCGTATTTTGAAGGTGTTGGTTTCGGGAAACGTCCTCTGAAACAAATTGTTCGACCGTCATTCTTAAAGAAGGCCGCAGAAGAGGAGAGAGAATATCAGGAATATATGAAGACACCGATCAACTGCGATAGGGTTCGCGTTCTATCAGTATCGTTTTTGGAATTTATATAACAGCCTGAGCCGTAATCATTTTATGAAGTTTAGTTGCGAAGTTTCAATCGAAAAGAGACGACGAACACAAAGCAAAATGTGGCGTTACGTTTCGATCGGGTAACGACACCATTCGAGGAAGTGAATGAAGAGGATGGAATCCGAATAGAGAGTGCTTGTAAGCTGTTCGATGGTCAGCGATGGATCGTCGAGGATGTGGGCTGTTTAGAGGTGGTTGTAGGCGACGATAATCAAGCCACATCGAAGATATTACACGAGGGTATGGTCGAACCTGATCTCGATTGAAGTCGGGTGATGGCTTTCGGGGTCACAGCCACCTGTTTGCTTGGTGACAGTTTGACGCCCACCCACATCGATCTCCGTGAAACGGCCAAATGACGACAATTTGGCATAGGCTCAGGCCGGAGTCTGAAACCAAATATATCAGTTTGAGGCACAATGCTGAAACTTTTAATTCATTGGAGCGTTGAAACGCAAAATGGAAATATGGGCACAATGAAGCGCTGAAGCAGTTTCCATTGGTACCGATGAAGCGACTTAATCATCATTCTTCTTATTCGAAATATCACGAAATGATATTTTTGATGAGACGTGTAATACGGGTATTCATGGAAGATTTCGTTCGTTTATTGCTTGTTCATTGTTGTATATGTGTATTGTGAGAATTCAGGAATGCCTCTTGAGGATATCAAGACACTTATAGTGATTATTGTATCATCCTCATAATTAGATGACTTTTGCGAAATTTCGAATCGCAATTTTTCTGAATCAAAAATACTGTCATGAAATCGAATGTTTTTTGTCAACAGTATCGTCACATCCTGTACAACAGGTGCTTTTATTTGTGAAAAATGTGAAGTGATGATGATTACGATTTAGCGATGATGGACTTTTTGACTTGATTCTTATATGTGCTGCAATCTGTTGATAGATGCTGCAATCGTAAAATTTATTGTTGATGTGCTGGCGTGATGCGATAATGCATTCGTATTTTTATGGCTGTTTGTTGATAGTGCTCGGATGGATTGAGTTTAGTGATATTTTATTGTTGTTATTGTTAAATTTGTTATTGTTTACAATGTGAATGTTTTGGTTGAGTGATATTCGTCTAGTTGTTAATTGCTCTTTCATTGGTTTATTAAGGGTACAAATTTGATTATTTCTATCGAATTTTGATGTTCGCTTCGGATTTCATTTTTGATTCGCAATACATTTAATCCATTGTGTTTTGGTGAAGTTTGTTTTGTTTGTTTGTTCGGAATTAGTGATCCATTTTGGTTTGTTTTCGGTGGTGAGAGGTTGTTTACTGTTATTGTTGGTGCATTGGGTGTGATAATTGGAATTAAATTTGGTTTTACATTCGGAATGAGTTGATTTGATCAGCGATTGGAGACGAGTCTTTGTTGCTCACTCGAGGAGTACCTTGGAGAANTTTTTTTGCCTAGATTCATTCGTATCTTTATAATTTGTTTGCTCATAATGGATGATCTTATTGCTGCACATAATTATTGCTAACGTTTATTTGCTGGCGGTTGTGTGTTTGTGTGTGCGGGTCGTTTTAGTGTTGGTTGTGCGAATCTGATAGAATGAGCGAAATTTTCGGAGGAGAAAAGAGGAGATGATCGTCGGTATAAGGTGGTTTGTTTGTTTTCTCGTGCTGAGAAGGAGGTAGGGATCGAGAATTCGTTTAGTTGGCGGGATTTGTTCGGGTGAATTCCACTGAGCTGTGTTGTTCTCAGTTTTTATGATGGCAAATTGATGTGATGGTTCAAGAATGCGAAGAAATTCCGTAGAAAACTTAAAAAAATCGCTTGGTGAATTGAGATAACATGAATGATTGCCAGTGGGTTTGTGGTGTGAATGTGTTTTTTACGTAGTTGATGAGTGATTTGAGATGGAGATAGATGGGCATTCAAAGTTCAGGTCTGGTCTGAGTTCGAACTTTGCTTCATAAGAAAGCATAAGATTCCAGGCAGTTTGCTTTTCAGAACAATAATTTTGTGAGAAATTTTATATGAAAGTCGAATTGTTTTCGATAAGATTGCTGCAATGAAAGTGTTTTCTTTTTGCTCACTGTTCCAAATGTGAGCATGCATTGAGCAGTCATGTTCACATTGGAATGGAGAAAAACAGAAATGAAAAAAAGATGGTGCTTATGTAAACATTGAAAGAATTATTGCATGTGAGCTATTTATAGATGTTGATATTTGATATGATAAGATTCAGTGAGTGTGTGTGCAGCGTAGTTAATTGTTTATTAGCAGCTCTGCTTCGGCAAGTAATCTATTTATATCGTATTGAGTGCGTTTTTATTGGTAGTGATGTTGATTCGAGGATTTGTTTGAAAATAATCGCGTTGTGTGTACTCTGAATTGTCTGTGGATCGATTGC